TTTCGTGTCAGGAGCAACTTGAGAAACTGCAAGTTGCTTCTAGTGTGAGAGAATTGCCCGTCTGCAAGGATGCTGCCCAGGGGATGCCTGGGTGTTTTGATGTTTTACCATCCTTGTRGGGGSCTTCTCTCATGTGCCTGAATTGGGAGCCGGAGTTGACAGAGGGAGCTCATCCACRCTCTCCTCGGAATCCTGTCRGTCTTCAGTCCCTGCTGGCATAAGGATTTAACTCACTGCGCCACTGGGRGCTCCTTTAAAAAAATTGTTTAAAAGATTGTATAAGGCAGGGGTCCTCAAACTAAGGCCCAAGGGCCAGATACGGCCCTCCAAGGTAATTTACCCGGCCCTAAGTCTGAAACGACTTGAAAGCACACAACAACAACAACAACAATCCTATATCATTAGCAGGCCCACGCTTCTCATTAAATACTGATAAGCTTATATGTATTAAAATTGTTCTTCATTTTAATTATTGTATTGTTTTAAAGTGTTTTTTGCACTACAAATAAGCTTATGCATAGGAATAGATGCATGTTTTTTTTTTCAAATTATAATCTGGCCCTCCAAAAGTTTGAGGGACTGTGACCTGGCCCTCTGTTTAAAAAGTCTGTGGACCTCTGGTATAAGGAGTCTGTGAAAYCTAAAGGAATATCATGTTAARACGTGGATCCTATTTACATGATATTTCCTTATATACATATTTGCAAATATAAGTATTCCAAAATCTTTTAAAATGTATCCAAAACACTTCTGGTCTCAGGGAGTTTCCAGACAGGCCCTATATCCCAGGATCTGATCCCATGTTTTCTGTTTTAAACTGGATTATATGAGTTCGAACTACCAGATAATCTGGGATAAATGGAAAACTTGGGATCAGACTCTGGGATATAGGGCATGTCTAGAAGGGCCCTCAAAGTATTTCAGATAAGGGTTACTCAACCTGCACTACCCTATGGAGTACCTACCACACCAGAGATACGATAATTGGAAAAGGCTGCCATTCATCGGAGAAGCACCTGACTTCACCCTGAGAGCTCCGTCTTCAGCATTTCACAACTATATTACAGTGACACTCAATTGGGAACTTTATTGTGAGATGACATCACCATTGCCATACATGATAGCTTTATCACAAATGTCTCACGTGTGCTCAAAAACAAATTAGCTTAACTGGCAGGGACCAAAACTCACAATTACCAAAGTCCCTGAACATAGGAACTGTGGCCTTAAAGCTTAATTATATTTCCACACACACACAGATACACATGCAAACTAAATCTTTCCCAGCAGTTCTAGCAGTTCACAGCTGACAGGAAAAGATTGCAAGGGGACATAACAGTAGCTGTGGGGCAGAATGCAGAAGGTGTTATTTCTGCAGTCGGCGTTTTGTCTCCTGTCACAGCAATAGGAATGTGAGATGTAGGTCTCCATACCTCCACACTAGATGGGTAAATTGACAACATTTTCAAAAGCTGCTAACATCCATGGAACTAGATAGGCAGCAATAAAGAGATAATTGCAGTGTGTACATTCTGTATGCGATATAAAAAACACCAAGATAGCTCCTAGGCCATTGATGAGCAATCTGTTGCTTCCGAGATGCTGGTTTATTGTGCACATGTATATGTGCCATCATAATGCCTGTTGAACTAATAATACCTGCCCCTGGTGGTGCAATAGAAACTCTTGTGCCAGCAGGACTGCTGACCAAAAGGTTGGCGGTTTGAGTCCAAGGAGCAGTGTAAACTCCTGTCTGTCAGCTCCAGCTTCTCATGTAGGGACATGAGAGAAGCCTCCCACAGGATAGTAAAATATCCGGACGTACCCTCGGAAACATCCTTGGAGATGGCCAATTCTCTTGCAGTTTTTCAAGTCGCTCCTGACACACACACACACAAAATCCAAACCTGCAGAACTATGATGACCCCATAAAATCCACAAGGTTTTCTTCGGCAAGGAATACTCAGCAGTGATTTTGCCAATTCCTTCCCATGGCATGTAGCCTAATGCACTTGGTATTAATTGGTTTTCATCCCATGCAAGTACTAACCAGATCTGACCCTGCTTAACTTCCAAGAACAGATGGAATTTGGTACCCTCAGAGTATTTCGGTCTTAGCTGGCAACTGCCAGAAACCCTAGTTTCCACTCATATTTTTCAGGGTTTAGGGGAGTTCTAATGCAAAACATCTGAAGAGTGCCAAAATTCATATCCCTCTTTTATGCTAAGGACAAATATGAAGTAAATAGAACAAACACGCAGAGAGATGTACTATATCATAATCTATAGCTGGCATAGAAACCCAGAGTCTGCAGGTAACTTTTAATATATGGTTTCAGTGATACAAGTGTTCACTAAAACATGCTCATTTATGGTTTAATTAACCTGGTAAGTAGGTGTTCTGTGATTATATCCTCATGAATTTTTAAACGAGTAGATACAAGATGGGGGGAAATTTCGGGCTGGACCTCACGGTTTCTCCTGACTCCCTTTTCTCAATATATATAGCTCCCATACAGATATAGGAGCCCCTGGTGGTAAAGTGGGTTAAACCACTGAGCTGCTGAATTCGCTCACCGAAAGGTCGCAGGTTCGAATCCGGGGAGCAGCATGAGCTCCTGCTGTTAGCTCCAGCTTCTGCCAACCTAGCACTTCGAAAACATGCAAATGTAAGTAAATCAATAGGTACCACTCCGGCAGGAAGGTAAAAGTGCTCCATGCAGTCATGCCAACCACATGACCTTGGAGGTGTCTATGGACAATGCCAACTCTTTGGCTAAGAAATAGAGATGAGCACCAACCCCCAGAGTCAGACATGACTGGACTTAATGGCAGGGGAAAACCTTTACCTAACGTAAAGCTCCCATCCTCTTTTAAGGTGCACCTACGCTGTAGAATTAGTGCACGTTGACACTACTGTAAGTGTCATGGCTCAATGTTATAAAAACATTGGAATTGTAAAATACAAATCCCAAGAGCTCATAGCATTGAATCATGGCGTTTAAAGTGGTGTCAAACCACGTTAATTCTAAAGTGTCAATGCACCTTTAGAGTTGTTTAGAAAAGAAATTAAAACAGCCCCCTCCCTTGCTTTCTTCAAGAACCAATTAAAAACTTTCCTGTTTAGACAGGCTTTCAATGAGGGAAATTAACCATGAGTGATAGAACTGCCATGCTGTGACTACTGGAGCAGAGTGCAATATTACCTGACATGATGTCAAATAAATGGGACTGTATATTGCCATTTGGTTTTTAAATTGCTTATTTATGATGTTCATATTTGTTATTGCTCTATTTGACCTGTTGTTTATATGATTTGAAGATACTGTAAGCCACTTTGGGTCCCGTGAAAAGTGGGGTATAAATATGTTGTTGTTGTTGTTGTTGTTTTCCCATAGGACAAATGTGTCCTATTCATTTTTTACAAGGTAAAAAGCCACTCCACAGTCCAATTAGAAAAATAATGTAAGAAGGAGGGTTCACATATGCTTCCCCGAGGCTTGATCCAAATTCATGAGCAGAGGGGCTATTCTTTTAAAAATCCATACAGGATATAGTCAGATAAGCTTGTCTCTAACCTTGGTGAAGCCTTCCCTCCCTCCTCCCGATCATTAAACATCGAGTTGATCATTCAGGGTTAGATGATAAAAAGAATAAACAAATGAATTTGCTCCTGACAATACGATTTGTAATCTGTTCTAGACAGACAAGACAGCAATGAGAATCAGGTTAAGAGCTGATAAATGAGCAGTCAAGACAGAGTTGAGGTGAGCCAGATGACAAAAGAAAACTACGCAAGAGGCATAGTTCAGGAAAATAGTGTACTATATATCGGGAAGCTGTGTAATGTCCAAGATATTTTAATTTTTTACATCTATATATTTAAAATGCAACAACAGCCCATGGTGTATGCAGTATATGTTTCAGAAGTATTATTTTTCTTGTCTTTTCAGTAAATCCACACTGAGATCATTACTGAACAGCAAAATAAATGAGATACACAACCTGCCACCTTATTAAAGAGAGGAATTAAATCCAGAATATTTTAACAGCCATGCATCAAACTATATTTTGTATTTACTACAAAAAGATATCTTACACAGCACTGTTCACCACACTGCCTGCACAGATAGCTCTTGCAAAGGGAAAGTGCTCTTTCCCAAACAGAACGTAATTGAGGCTTCCTTGACTCAAACACTGAGATTTAGGAAATGCATTCGCTCGGTCGGGGCTTAACATACTCTAATTCTGCTAAACCATCAACTTTGCCTGCTTTGCTTCCAATCCCTGTAAACTTAATCTGAAAATGAGATTATTATTAATGGCAATTCAACTCTGACCCACATGACACTGAAGACTTTCTATAACGTACAAAGGAGCAGCTAAGAGGGATGCATACCTGTCATTCTGGTCTGTCGTCCAGCTGAGTGATCTTCCATCTGGCTTTGTTTTGTACCAAATCCTTAAGGCGTGAGGGAAGTCCTTTGGCAATTGGACACCTGCCTTCCTGATCTCCAAGCTCCAACTGCCAGTAACAAACAAGAGCTCTCCACAAGCAGGAGCTCGGCTGCATCGCCTGTAATAGTCAAGCTGCTCCTTCCAGTGATCTGCAGGTAATGTCACAAGTTCATGCACAATTTGATTCCTGCGATCCCTGGCATCTTGAGACGATCCTGTTAACTTGGCAGGGTTTGCAAATTCCTCGACGCCTGGAACAAGGGAAATGTCTACCTCCTCAACCTTTAACACGGATAAATCACAGCAGTCTAGGACCAGTGAGAAATCTTCATTCCCATGAATCTCAATGTCACAGCAGTTCTTTGAACTAGAAATCCCAGAAGCCTGTTCCTTGTTGCCATGGCTACCGTTTTTATCAGAAGTATCATTTTCACCTTTACCACAGRCAGCAAAATCATTACATCCACTTTCAGGASAGSAGGCGCTTGCATTTGACACAGGAACCGAGCCAGATTCAGGTGCCTGGACTTGGCAGGTTTCATCTGACCATGACCCACCAGCTTCTTCAGTCTGCTCTCTGACTCCTTCTCCACTGTCAGYTTGAAAGAACAAAACTATTTTGCCCTCAATCACCTTGTTTTCAACATCTACATCMAGATCCAACACATAATGCTTCACCAACATGTGGTTAGTGTTAGCCATTAAAGGCAGATCGTCCTTAGTAAAGTCTAGCTCCATCCCGGTGTGCCAGTCTTCTGTGCAAACAATCCCAATTTTCAAAAGCCTCACTGGCTTTTAATATTGTCTTTCCTTTGAAATGCTGCTGCTATACATTTTCCCGCTGTCACAAAGAGCTGTATGTATAATAATGGAGTGTATTACGGTGAGCTTTCAGTGTATCACTTGTCTCTTACCTTGTGAAGAAAAGGGGGGGGGGGGGAATCAACAGTGAGATATCAATTTAAGTAAGAACTGCAACAATGGAAGAAGCCCACATTGTGACATCATTTTGAAATGAAATGTATTTCAGCTATTGAGTTTGTTATTCAGAGACCAAATTTGTCATTCACACAATCACATATCAAGGCTATAAAGTGCAAAAGTGTTTTCCAATGAAAATTAAAAGGGAAACTCGTTTATATAATGATCGGGGAACAAACCTAATGAACATGAGAATTGTATGATACTGCCAAAGAAAAGAAAAGAACTTAAATAACAGAACAGCGCCTATCATTATATTTAATGCAGGGACAGGAGGCCGTTGTAAGCCTGGGGTTACACTCTTTTCTCCAAACCAGTCTAGCCGGCTGAATGTAGGCAGAGGACAGGATTTCACCTATTCATCTCACCTGATGTAATCTAGCCCTTCTCCCTTCCCAGATAACCATTTCCAGTTTATCCATTCTTAGCGAACAAAGGGGAAGGGACCTCCTTCAAAACCTTTCCAGCCCATTTTTAGGCCATATGTGATTCAAGTGAGTCCAAATATTCTTCTTCCTTCTTTCAGTATTTATCTTACTGATCAGTAATAACCTATACATGTGGTGATGCAGTAGTAAATTGAAAAAAGAAAGAAGAAGTAAGAAGTACAGTAGTAAATTCAGAAGTGCAGGCTCCCATCATGGCAGTCCTTATAGTGACAGCACCAATGATAGTCCAAAGATGCACGTTTAGATCCAACGCTCTAACAAAAAAAACAAACAGATTTTGCAGCATTCATCTCCACCAGAAGTATGTATTTTGTCAAGCTAATGACTCTTGTCACCCCACACCAAACCAACCCCAAATATTTGGGCAGTAAGAAAGACTGTTCATAACAATACATTGTTTCTGGGGAAATCTATTTATTCTTCAGCACTACTATCACTGGTTCGAGAGCAGTACGTATAAAAAAGATCTTGGAGTCCTCGTGGACAACAAGTTAAACATGAGCCAACAATGTGATGTGGCGGCAAAAAAAGCCAATGGGATTTTGGCCTGCATCAATAGGAGCATAGTGTCTAAATCTAGGGAAGTCATGCTACCCCTCTATTCCGCTTTGGTTAGACCACACCTGGAATATTGTGTCCAATTCTGGGCACCACAATTCAAGAGAGATTGACAAGCTGGAATGTGTCAAGAGGAGGGTGACTAAAATGATCAAGGGTCTGGAGAACAAGTCCCTATGAGGAGCGGCTTAAGGAGCTGGGCATGTTTAGCCTGAAGAAGAGAAGGCTGAGAGGAGATATGATAGCCATGTATAAATATGTGAGAGGAAGCCACAGGGAGGAGGGAGCAAGCTTGTTTTCTGCTTCCCTGGAGACTAGGACGCGGAACAATGGCTTCAAACTACAAGAAGGGAGATTCCATCTGAACATGAGGAAGAACTTCCTGACTGTGAGAGCTGTTCAGCAGTGGAACTCTCTGCCCCGGAGTGTGGTGGAGGCTCCTTCTTTGGAAGCTTTTAAACGAGGCTGGATGGCCATCTGTCGAGGCTGATTTGAATGCAATATTCCTGCTTCTTGGCAGAATGGGGTTGGACTGGATGGCCCATGAGGTCTCTTCCAACTCTTTGATTTTACGATTCTATCTTAAATCATGAAACAGCTTCCTAAGATCTACAGAGATACTCGCAGGAACACCTCAGCAAGCAAGAGTATAAAAGCGGCAAGCTAAAACCCAGCATCTTAATCAGTGGCTGAAACTGGATGAGAAACTCCCTCCTGGGCACACAGAAGAGTGAGCAACCTGGAAGTCGCTGAACAGGCTGTGCTCTGGCACCACAAGATGCAGAGCTAAAATTAAGAAATGGGGCTACAAAGTGGAGTCCATGACATGCAAGTGTGGAGAAGAGCAAACCATAGACCACCCACTACAATGCAACCTGAGCCCTGCCACATGCACAATGGAGGATCTTCTCACAGAGACACCAGAGACACCCTAGTGGCCATTTTCTGGTCAAAAGACATCTAGCATAATGCCAGATTTTTAAAACTTTGTGTTTTTAAATGAATTTTAACTTTATGCATTTAAAAACACATGATACATTAATAAATTTGGTGAGGAATACAGAAGATCAGCACCCGGAGAACCACATGAATTGATATGGTGGACTGGATTTGGCCCATGGGGCTTGAATTTGACACATGTATAAATACATTGAGAAAAAAAAATGAATCCAAGAAGGTATCATACTAGGTCATAATCCTTGCTTGATGAAGAGTACTGCAGCTTTACCCTGTGAATGCTGGCTCCACTACACCACTCTGTACATGGTTACTCTCAAATAAGTCCCAAAAGTTTAATGGCATTTACTCCCAGGTGAATGAGTACAAGACGGCACCTAAAAGCGTGACTGCTTGTCTAGTTTTCAAGAGGTGAAATGTACCATGCCTAATTCCTCACCTCGGAAAGGCAGTGGAATGTATCTTTGTTACAAATCTAAGTGAGAAGCATGATTGAAGGCTAAATGGCCTCATGTGTTTCGTTCCCTAGAAGCCATAATTTAATACATACAATGTAACTCCAGGGATTCATGTACTTTGCACATTATGGCTACACTCATATCAGCACTTCTGGTAAATTACAAGAAAATGAGTCAATTTATAAGTAGAACATTCTAAATATTCTTTTGAGATTGCGCATGAAGATTTTTTAGATTTATAGTCAAATACTCCAGGTATATAATTACACCTTAATAGCTGGAAATCCATTAACATTTTGAATCAGAGACTTCTCAGAGCAAACAAAAGGGTTTCTCAATCAAAAAGACGTATTCAAATAATGACACACCAAAAAGGGGAAATTAAAATGTTACCATCATGTGTTTTGATAGTATGTTAACTCTCTTCATTTCATTTATTCTCCCCCTTAAAATTCAAAACAATGTAAGAGAAAAACAAGCTTTTAATTATAATAGTTTAAAATATTTATATTATTTTTAAATGTTGTCTTTTAATTTGTTTGAAATATAACATTAAAATCATATTAAACATACTTTATTGATTTTTGTATCAAATATTTCAAAACACTAGAGGACAAAATACCGCAGATACTTAATATCACTCACAAGTATGAAGGCATGCTTTAATTGCTGTTTTATTAACTAAATATATGAGTCAAATATGTCAGCTCAGAGAACTGGAACCTCTTCCCATTCAATTATTTAAAAAAAAAAACACATTGGAGGCTTTGCCACTTCAAATGGTTTTCTCAGGAGTAAGTCATTCTATTTTGAATTATACCAACTAAAGAATTGTTTTAGGTGGATCTGTAATTGGTTAAGCGAATGAACCCAAAGATTGCTCATCAATGTTTCCTCTTCATCCTAGAAAGAAGAGATGAGTAATGTACCCCAGGGTTTTGTCCTGGGCCCAATTTTGTTCAACATCTTTATTTATGACTTAGATGAAGAGTTAGAAGGCTTGATCATCAAGTTTGCAGGAGACACCAAATTGGGAGGTATAGCCAATATTCCAGAAGACAGGAGCAGAATTTAAAATGATCTTAACAGATTAGAGAGATGGGCCAAAACTAACGAAATGGAGTTCAGCAGGGACAAATGCAAGATACCTTACTTAGGCTGAAAAAAACAAAATGCAAAGATACAGAATGAGGGACGCCTGGCTCAACAGCAGTATGTGTGAAAAAGATCTTGGAGTCCTTGTGGACCACAAGTAAAACATGAGCCAACAATGTCACACGGTGGCAAAAAAAAAAAAAAGCCAATCGGATTTTGGCCTGCAAAAATAGGAGCATAGTGTCTAGATCCAGGGAAGTCATGCTACCCCTCTATTCTGCCATGGTCAGACCACATCAGGAATACTGTGTCCAATTCTGGGCATCGCAACTGAAGGGAGATGTTGGCAAGCTGGAATGTGTCTAGAGGAGGGTGACTAACATGATAAAGGGTCTGGAGAACAAGCCCTATGAGGAGCAGCTTAAAGAGTTGGGCATGCTTAGCCTGCAGAAGAGAAAGCTGAGAGGAGACATGATGGGCTTGTATAAGTATGTGAGGGGAAGTCATGGGGAGGGAGGAAGCTTGTTTTCTGCTGCCCTGGAGACCAGGACACAGAAAAATGACTTCAAACTACAGGAAAGGAGATTCCACCTGAACATTAGGAAGAACTTCCTAACTGTGAGAGCTGTTCAGCAGTTTAACTTTCTGCCCCGGAGTGTGATGGAGGCTCCTTTTTTGGAGGCTTTTAAGCAGAGGCTGGATAGCCATCTCTCAGGGGTGCTTTGAATGCGATTTTCCTGCTTTTTGGCAGGCGGTTGGACTCATGAGGTCTCTTTGAACTCTTTGTGTGTGTGTGTGTGTCAGGAGCGACTTGAGAAACTGCAAGTCTATGATTCTATCCTATGAAATTCATAGATCATATATGCTATGAAATTCAAGGATTGCCATCAGTTAAGTGGCAACTTGGAGGCACATACACACAAACAGTATAAAGGTTACCTAATTTTCAAGAAGCATAAGAGAGGATTTGCACCTTTTACTAATTTCAGTTTAGTTTTCCATGCAGGTTATGCTTGCTGAAAACCCTCCTTATAACTACAGTTCTTAAAGCGTAAGAACCCTGTTCTCTCTGGAACTTGACAACCCTAAGTTGGATGCTTACTTACTTATTCTTAACTAGATTATAAACATATTCATAAGGGCAGGGAACTGCTTTGTGGTCCTTTTACTTGTAAAGTACCGCGCTGTATAAATAAATGATAATAATGGGAGAAAATGTTTTTAAAACTCTCATGCGGTTCCTTTCTGTAAATTTTGCTACAATCAGAAAAGATTGAGGCTACATCTACACTTTAGAATTAATGCAGTTTGACACCACTTTAACTATCAAGGCCTATCAAATCCTGAGATTTGTATTTTGAAGAGGCACCAGCACTCATCAGCAGAGAAAGCTAAAGAACTTGTAAAACAACAACAACAACAATAATATTTTTTCTTCATAGCCTGCCCCCTCTCCCCAAAGGGACTCAGGGTAGCTTACACTCAATCAATATATACATAAAAATATAAAAATAACATTATACAATAAAACTATTTTACTTAATTCCCATGATTCCATAGACTTGAGCCATGGCAGTTAAAGTGGCGTCAAACTGCCTTAATTCTACTGTTAAGATACACCCATGGTACAGTGGTAGAACAAATTTTCTGCATACAGAAGTTCCCAGATTCTGTCTCTTACATGTCTAGTACAAATTATGCTTTCTAGAATAACCATGCGCTGTTGTAATGCAGACATTGGCTTAAGTGGCTCATTGGTGTGACTCAGTATAATGCAGATCATTTCATTTCTTTATAAGGAGACCCTCTCTAGGAGGGAGAGCTTAGGTAGCACCCTGAATTACACTGCTAAAATTTCCATTTAGAAGCATATTTTGAACTGAGCAACAGAGGGAGGATTAGTTAGGAAACAATATAGTTTTTTCATCAACCAAAGTTTTGGTGCATTTCCAGATGACACAGAAAGATGACATTCTGGTCTATCTGCTTCTGAAATCATTTCCTTAACAGGCAGCAGCTCTTTCCCAAAGTCAGAAGTAGAACAAACAATCAGCAACGTGAGCTAGCGATGACTACATGTAGCTATGCAGTATAGTGTTTTTTATATAAATTCAGATGCTCACCGTCAGGGGCGGCTCTTCCATTACGCGAAGTAAGCGGTCGCAGAACACTTTTTTTTTCCAGGG